CGGGAGGAGTAGGGGGGTAGGGGGAGGTGGGTAGTTGTTGTCGCCACGTCTGGGGATGTCTGATCTACAACTGACATCTCAAACCGGAAACTACTCAGAGGAGATGAGAACGTTAACTCTTTCAATCTATTGAACACTTTGCCTTCACATTTTTTTAAAAATACAGTAAGAGATGTCCTGACGTGCATTTAGTTTTCAACCAAAGAAATAAGCCTACATCTGTTTACCTGAAACAGAAAAAAGCCCATAGATATTTGTATTACGACGCGGTGGAATCAAGCACTCGTCAATGTTTGGGCATGTGAAGTTATTGGTGTCATCTGAACGCTTATTCATATTGTTTGGCTTTCTATGAAAAGAATACGCACGCATTTATCTTGAATAGAAGTCAAGAGATTTGCGATTGAAAGAGATATGAGGTCGCCAGGTTTCAGTTGAGAATTTAGCGAGAAAATGGCCGCCAAAGTTGGTAACTCCAATAGCTAAAGACTCCTTGAAAACTGAAAAGTATCATATTTTGAGCTTTTAATCAATGTTTTTCAGTAAAATTCACTTGGAACTACGTTTATGTATGGACATTAAAGGATTTGAGCCAAAAAACAAAAATTCGATAAAATTGCTACACCAGCAGGAACATGCCTGTTTCTTTGATTTCAGTATTTTGACGATTTGCCCAATTTCACCACGATAACTCATCAAAATGTTAACAATAATTTCATGCCTCAGAAAGATCTCTAGTAATCAAAACAGAGGAGAGGGGTTATGGAAGTGAAAGGCAAAGACTAAAAAGGGTTTATTTTGGAAAGGGGTGGGGAAGGAGGGGGGGGGGTGGTTGTTGGTGGCGATCAATTGAGTAAGAATTCACTTAGGCTTGAAGCCCCAGTGTGAAGATGTGTAAGGCAGCGTGGTGAAATCAGTCGCTCGTCAAAATAATGAAAATAAAGAAACTTACTCTTTGCCGCTGCTTTGGCAATCTTTAAAAAGCCAAAATTATGTTTTTACGCTCAACATCTTTTATGCCTTTTTAAGAACCCATTTCCGTGTGAATCATATTGGATAACGCTGTTAAAAGGCATAAAAAATGTAAATTGTTAGTTTTCACGAAATGTGAGGCTTTGTATACAACTCTGCATGCCATTTTCTCACTATTTATACCTCTGAAATCAGGTGACCCCACCTCATTCAATCACAAATATCTAGACATATACTCAAGATAGAAGGATAATTCTTTCATCGAAAGCAAGGCTATTAACAAAGTTTAAGGTGATACCAATAACTCCACCTGCCCAAAACTTGACGAGCGGCTGATTCCACAGCGTCATGACACACGTGTTTTCAATTACCGTAAAATCTTCACTGGCGCTCCGCAGTCTACAGGTCAAAGGTCAATGACCTCCAGTGTCCTCCACCAGCCCTCTCCTTGCGACAAAACATTACTGTATGGGCAAGTGACCAACATAAAACGTCAGTCAAAGTCTTGGGATTTCCGCCCTAATGCTAGAACTGGGCAAAGAATCTAGACGGGAACCGATTCCCAAGACTAACGCTCCGAAAGAAAAGTTCCGACTCCTTTTTACGTAAACCAGCCGTTACCAGTAACTTTAATCAGTAAAATCTTCTTTTTATATTTTTAGAATTTATTTTGGAAAAATAAAAATTGATGCTTCGTAGTATTCCGAAATTAAGGTTATCCTAAATCCGAAAGATGTTTGGAGCTACCAGGTAATCACAGGAAGAAATCACATCATTGGAAAGTAAGTAATTGGGTTCGGAGTCGATTCCTGCGATTCTTAGCTTTCAATAACCGGGAACTTAGCCGCCCAGCACTACCTAATACGCCCCTCCCCGCCCCTT